AAGACCAGGTGGAGAAGGACTTGGCTTCACTTGGCATTTCCAATTGGCGTCAGTTAGCACAGAATAGAAATGACTGGCGTGCTGTTTTGGACTCGGCCAAAATCGCTTAGGCGGTTACAGCGCCAATAAAGTAGAAGAAGAGAATAAACTCATTCAAAGGATGAAAGAGAAAGGTGGGATGAACGAATATCATTCAGAGTTGAATTAAGATCTGTTGGTATTTGAAAAAAAAATATATTGGGACCCGAATTACTTTTTTGCGCATAAATAAAAATAGTGGGAAAATACCTTTCTACCGAGTTCCCATAAGTCTAAATCAGAATAGGTTTGGCCCAGTTATTTAAGTTTTTCGTGAATCAATCTTTGAAAACAGTAAAAAACAGCATAAAAAATCTCATTATTACGATTCCGTGGAAAAGATTTTTTAATATTTTTATGCAGAATTTTTAGGCCTATTTTGTTTTGTCATCTGAGGGGACTTTATTCAAAAAGTTCTTTAAGAAACTATTTTTATTCATAAAAAACTCCATTTTTGGAGGTATTTTCAAATCGATCCAGCTCGCTTAAATCTTAATATTTTTCTGAAATATTTTGGTGGACGTCTTAAAATATAATAAGCTTTGTAATCCCGGCGGAAAAACCGCAACTTTTTTTGTAATCTAATGTACATGGATTTAAACATGTGATTCCAATTATATTATCCCATATAAATTAACAGCCCAGCGAATAAATACTTGCTTTTGTATTTAAACGTCGCCAATTCAAAATTATTGTAGCGTTCGCAATAACAATAAATAAGTCGCAAGGTCAGACCCTAGCACCAGGATTGCTTAACGCATTTCGTATTGAGTTGAGTACGATCTAGCCCAAATACCAAGTAAAAGTTAGCTACCAAAAGCAATGCATGTGGTTTTTAGAATAAAAGAATATGCAGATTTTTTAGACCACGGAGCACCCCGATTTTCGGGCATTATTACTAGTTTATAATAATTGATGACAAATCGGTGTTGGTATGATCATGCTGGTATAATTCCCTACCCATAGGGATTTCAATCGAAAAAAATTAGTGTAGGGAAAAGAGGGAAGAGTTTCGTTTAAAGGCTTAAAAATTGCAATTTTCCACTTCGTTTTTTATTAATATTTGCAGCTTTTTTCATTTATATTAATTTTGGAATAACTGAAAATCAAATAACGCGATCAGGGAAATCAAGCTGCGTACTTGAAAATGTCTATTTAAAACAACCATTGAACGGTAATGAAAAATATAATAAACATACGATAGTCTAAGATCCGACAAAAATTATTATAATTTTTTTAATTTTGCACTCATATATTTAATGAACAAGTTATATACCAATCGAAAGTATTAAGTCTATAGAATGTGAAAACGTTGGGTTGTATATTTTTTTCCTGGCCTACCTATCGGATTGGCAGGTGAACAGTAATTTTCACTCATCTGTTTAACATGTAACATAACATATGTATATGTAATTTGTTCATTAAACAAATGAGTGCAAAATTAAAAAAATTATAATAATTTTTGAATATGTAACTAAAAATATCCAGGCCAGGATTTTTTCAGAGAACCCGCTCACGAAATATTTCCTAACACGTCAAATTCATACAAAGTAGATTTAATCCATTAAAGGTGCTCGTAAAAGGTGAGGGTAAATACCTTGAGAGTTCCGCCATATTGATCAGAGAATTCTCATGGATGTTTACACGTACACGGATTCTAACTGGTATTTTGTTCTAATGAGAGTTTTTTTGGTCGAGTTCGTCAATAATAAAGTAACGGTACTGTTGTTTTCTCTACATTGTGATAATTATGTAATATTTTGTCATTCACGTGTTGTGAGGAACGTTGAATAGACGCAAAAAATTACTTTTGCGTTTCCTAGCCCTCTATGAAGATTGAAAACAACAAGAGGATGAAAGTGATAATTTATTTTACGTCGGTCCGTTTCTAAAAAAATATGGAGTGTTTAAAATGAGTTAATATTCATGAATAACACAGCGTGAGAATACTTACACCCAACGTATTCAATTTAGTTTTAGTTTTTTTACTCCCATTATAATAATTCGCTCAAGATAAAATGCAAATGTTCCCAACAATAGCAATATCATGAATGGTCAATGCCCTGATTCAATAATACAAGGTTGGATAACCTGGCAGTTGTCTCGCTCCCGCATTCTGCCTTAGCCTGTGTTGCTTTCTTTTTTGATTTACAGGAACGACTACTAAAATACCAGGAGAAATTTTGTCTTCGTATAAAAAGTTCAACAGGCAACACTACCGATATTTTCAATGATTGTTTCGTTGAAATTCATATTCTTATTGCGCAAATTCAAGTAAGTATGCCAAAAATCAAAAATAATGTAAATATTTTGAACTAAAACAATAATTTACATATTTCTTTGCAGAGCATCAGAGTTATTCATAACTTGCATTCAAAAAGTAGCGTTTTACAACAAGTTCAGCCGTTGCAAGTTAAGGTACCCACTAGGATGGCCAGATAATATAGTGACATAATCAGCACAGTTGGGATCAAAAATCAGTACAAAGCCATAAAAATCAGCTAATTTTTAAGCGTATTTTTTATTATTAACAATTAGGGAGTTCACAAGTCGTGCTATTTGTCATATTTGCTCTTTTGTACTATTTTTTTAGAACAGTTGTAAAATGAAACTTGTGAGCATCCCATACTTTTTCGTGTGCTATAGTACAATATTTTAACAATTATATTTGACAAAATCAAAATTATTAAAACAGCTTTAGAAAGTTTATAATGCCAAGAAGAAGCGAGAAAAGCAAATTAATGGCTGCGATTTGCGAGAAGTACGCGCAGGACGCAATGATGGAAGGAAGTGAGTCGTCAAAGAAGTCATTTATGAGTTTTTTAAATTTATTTGGTGCATTTTTGTTAGGCGATGAAGATGAGGAGGAAGAGATCGATGAAACTTTTAGATTGAATATGCTTGTGTTGTTGGCAAATCGCCGAAGTGTCCATCTAGGAGTTCCGAAATCAAACAATTGGTATCTGAATGTGTTACAACCTCAAATAGGCGGTTTTCTAAAAGAAAATCAATTAGGGACTTCTCTTCCGACACTGTCCACATATGGTTTGGTTTTCCCCGGACACGCTTAGTTTTGCACTGAATTAAAAAAGATCTTTAATAAGTTAAATATGTTATAAATTAAAGATAACTTACTCCATTGCCATGAGATGACTCCATTTTTTTATTTAAAATTTGAATATTTTATTGTACTCAGACAAGGAAAAAAGTAAATAAATAGAAATGTCTGATCCAATAGCACTCACAAATAGCAAAGTAAACATATTTTTCAAAGTTGTATTGTAATACAACAATTTTACTTGTAAAGCAAAAACAACACTTTTAAAACTATTCTAAAAAAATAGTATAAAAGAGCAAATATGACAAATAGCACGACTTGTGAACTCCCTAAATATAACAACCAAATAACAGCGCATTAATTTAACAAAAATAACTAATAGACTTTTAAATACATATAGTATTATCAATATAGAATTCTTTACTTTAAAACAAATCAAAGGTATTGCGTATGTAAGCTGTGCTCAGGAAAATAGTAGTAAAATGTATTGACAGGTTTTAAAAATGTTTTCTTTCCTTACTTAATTTAAATTTTTTATAAAAATATAGTTAATTCTATAACAAAAGACATGTGAGTTGAAGTCTCAAACTTTCTAGAAAATTTATAAAAATTGAGAAAATTAAAAGAAATTTGTAGCCCATTCAGTTTCAGTAGAAGACGAGCTGGAGTCAGAATCTGTTTGCATATTTTAAGCTACAAATTTAAAACATATTTAGATGGTGTGCTTATTAAATACAACATTCACATTAAAATGTTGACTAAAAGGTATATTACCGAATTATCACTAAACGAATTTTCGAGCACGAATGATATTTAATAGTGTTAAATGTGTATGTGCAAGTAAAATTACAGGTGGTCCAACATCAAAAATCAAAGTAAAGCTACATATATCATATCCAAGAGTCGGTAGTTTGCACCTTTTCCAAATTTTTAGAACTTACATTGCACCATAGCAGTAGTCGTCTAACGTTTGAAATACTGACAGCCGATTTCTCAGTGGATGTTTAATTATAATCAAAAGATTATCTCTTATTGTCATCTTCTCAGTGTACTTAATATATGATTAACTCACCACCACCATTCATAAGATTTATTAATGGCGAAACCAGCTTTTCCTGTAAATCCTGTAAAACCTGCAAATCGTGAAGTTGGGTTGGGGTGAATCGAAACAGTTTGTTATTTTGCGAAATCCTAGGAAACGAAACAATTGCAAGCTGACACCTTTTTAATAATGGTTTTAATTTAATTAATGCTTTCAATCTGCTCACACGTATGAGTTGTTAAAAACCATTTTTTTGAACCTCACGTAAATGTCAATTACACCAATTTACAAAAGTATTTATTAAATCTAAAAATCAGTACAAAACCAGTACAAACTCAAAAAATCAGTAGATTTTGTGTACTGATTCCGGGCTCTTAAAAATCAGCACAATAGAAAAACTCAGCATATGTACTGATTAAATCAGCGCATCTGGCCACCCTAGTGCCCATACTCACCGACGTAAACGTAAGTTACGTGTCAGCTGACACGATCAAACTTATGAGAGCGCCAAAGAGTACATTTTAAAATCTTTAACTAAATAAACTTACAAAAATTTAATTTTTCATTAAAATAATTAGAAGCAATGTTTAATAATGTTAAATATAGATACATGAATTATTTGCATTTGTTGCTTTTTGGTTTTGGTTTAAAATACAAATAAAATTTGCAATTGATAACGCGGATGTATGTATAGGTATGTATGCAAACAGATGAATGGCAACATTGTGTCGATGCAAGCAAAATATGTAAACAAACCAAAGCAGCTACACAATTTCATTTCGCGAGTTTATTTACACAAGTTTTTTACAGAGAAAATAAGAAATGAATGATGAAAAATTTATATCTTTGGTGGAGGCAAACAAGGAGCTGTATGACAAGGCTAATCCCTATTATAAGTTCCATGGAAGAAAAAAAAGTATTTGGGAGCAAATTGGCGAGGAGTTGCACACAAGTGGTAAGTGAAAGTTATAATTAAATATATATTATCATTCTTTGAAAGGTGAGCTGTGTATGCGGAGGTGGATAGCTCTCCGTGACCGGTATGGCAGAGAAGTCCGAAAATCTGCAGCACCATCAGGCAGTGGCGCGGAGTATTATAAACCGTGGTATCTGCTTGAATGTATGCAATTTTTAAAGCCCCACCTGATTCCTCGTCCGTAAGTAGAAAAACAGGTGAAATATGCTCATAAATTGATTAATACAAATATGCTTCCGTAACAGAACTCGCTGTTCCCAAAACGTGTGTCCGGAGGTGGCCGTGCCGACACCTGAGATTGTGGATTTCGTGCCCTCACCTTCTCCACCGATATATGTGCCTCTGCCATCGCCATCGCCTTCAGCCACTGCGTGTTTGGACTCACCGTCGACACCAATAATGGTATCTGTACCATCCACATCGCCACCATCACTCATGCAAGCTTCATCTCCGTCATCTTCGTCACCTGCTCCACCCCAGTGATGTTGAGAAGAACTTGTTGAAAGCCATTGACATCTTCAAAAAAAAGTGTCTGCAAACGGATAATGAATGCAGCAACCCAACAGTGGACTCATTTGGAAAAATGATTGTCACTATGATTTCCAAAATGAGTGCAGCTAAACAAACCCGGACCATGCAATGAATGATGTTGGTGGCTTTCGAGGAGCAACAGGAACTAGAATGAGGATTCCGTTTCTTAGTTATTTTGTAATTGATTTTTTATTTATTTTTTAACCTTACTCGTACAGTGAATTTGGTTTCAGTTATTTATTACTAAGGGCGTGTGGGAATCGGTAACACAGTTCTATTGGGAAAGCTGTTGAATAATATTTTTACTATGGTGAGACAGTTTTGCCAATCTGCTGTGTGAAATGAAATTTCTTGACAGCAGTAAATTTTTGATAACCACAGATTTATGGGGCATAAAATATTACAAATTGAAGTGAAATTAATATTTTAAGGAAACGTCTACCATCGTTGATTGCAATTCATCAATTTAAGCATTTAAATTAAAAAAATTACAAGAGTTGAAAAAGACCTAGTCGTAATGGAAATTTAACAGCTTGTTTTGGAGTATACATATATATTTTTTTTTGTTATACAAGTGTTGCTAGTTAGGCTGAATTTTGAAATATGTATGTATACGTTGTACAAATTGCATATATGTATGTACATACATATGTAACTAGAAATGTGCATATTTTGCACCTGAATTTTGTAATACTAAATGAACTACCTGATAAATGAAAATATTTGCAAATATTTTTAACTACATGAATTTACAGTAGAGCATACAAGTTTTAAGTTTATTGATTTATATAAATTACATACAGTGAACCAAATTTAAACTGGGACGCGACATTTTAGCAAGTTCTGGTTATTGTTCTTTAGTTTATTTAATGTTTAATATTTTTTATAAAGTTATAGCCTATTACTTAGCAAAAATAATATACAGTGGCGCTCACGTAAATAGCACACTTTAATTTTCCACAATATTCACAAATTTTTACCTGATACATTTTTTCGTTAATTTAATTATATTAATATGATTTTAAACCATGAACCACAAAGTTTTAAGCATATATCCTGTTGACGACATACGTGGTAAAGAGGGTCCATTATTTATTTCACGTCGCGAATTCCCACTATGAACGATGTTACCTGTTTCTTGTCGATCAACATAGTTTTCAGGACAATACCAACGATTGTGATCGTTTAAAATTATGAAATTGTGTAAAGCAATGCAGGCTAGCACTATTTTTTTCACAATTTTTAGGATCACATTCGATCGTTGTGCGAAGTATTCTCCATCGCGCCGTTAATATTCCAAAACTATGTATTTTCTATTACGTGCACGTGAAAGACGGTAATTAAAAATCCGCTTGGTTCTTGTTAAGATAGAACCGGGATATGGTCGCATCAAGTTTCTTCTCAACGGGAATGCAGCATCGCCAACGAAATAATAGGGGTATTCTCGAAGTCTTGCACGATGCACGGATTGCACGAAATGCAAAAATACTATTCCAAATTTCGAAGAGTACGAGAACACCCCATTGCAAAGTGGTAGCATGCATGTGGAGCAAGCAGCGAAATTATGTATCAAATACAATAACAAGAGACTGCAAAAAAAAATTAAGTGAGCGAGATGAGAGGAATGAGAGAAATATGTAGCAATTCCAACAACAAAACAACTAGCACAGGGTCGCTATTATCTTGCTATGCTATTTTGCAAAATATATACATGGGTTTCGACGTTGCATATTTTGCAGCGATAGGAAATGTTGTTTCCCATGAATTTTCTTGTTGTGTGTTTGCAATTTATGCAATCCGTGCAATCCGTGCTACGTGCAATAGCTTTGCAAGATTTGGAGAATACCCCTAATGTGGTAATGGTTCTGGTGATTATGTAGATAAAGGCGCGGGGGGCGGTAATGGCAGAGTATTTTGCATCAAGTTCTCTCCAAATGGTGAAAATTGAAAAATTCCTGTAAAATACACATACATACATGTGCATTAGGTGGAATAACTTATATTATATATATTTTAATACCTCCGTCACTTTGACTACCATAACTTCGGACGTTTACTGCGGTGAAGGTATATTTGGCATCACAAACGGCCATCAGGACGATGCTAAAGAATTGTTTGTAGTTGTAAAACATCGAAATTGAATTCGCTGGACACTTGATTGCAACATGTTTGCCATCTATTGCACCAACACAGTTTGGAATGTTCCATTTATCAAAAAAATCCTTAGCAATGTCCTTGTACTGAGATTCAGTAGGTTCGCTAACGTAGACTGGGGAAACTAGCCGCCAGATAACTTCACAAGTTTCTTGTATTATTTTTCGCACAGTCGTTTCACCTAACTTATAACTTCATGCAATGCTCTTTACAGATACACGTTGTGACAAATATCTAAACGACCATTATGAAGGAAATATTAATGGACTTGAAGTCTCGCTTTCTGAATAGATATACTTACAGCAAAACCAAAGATAGTCTTTCCTCAGGACCAATCCGCTGTTTTGGCTTCCTCAAAGAATCGCTCACTAATCTTAAAAGCAATTCATACACAGGCGGTGACATCCTTGTGTGTGAGAACAATTCATCAGGCTCCAATGTTTGTTATTCGTCGGAACACTTGGATTTGATAACCACCTTTATCCCAATTTCTATTTAATGGTCGAACTTTATACCTTCTGAACTTTTTTTTGTCCTTGTATCTTTTATATAAACCGTATACTATATACATAAATTTAAAAATAAATCGAAAATTTAACGCTTCTTTTGATTCATTTCGGCACCAGTGTATTTTATAAACATGTAAACAACCGAAAGCAGCTGTTTTTTACGTTACCTTGCGGGCATAAGTTTTGCTCAATTTTGAGTATCTCACGTCAAACAGACACGGCATACGTACACGTCGGTGACTGTGGGCACCTTAAGTATGGCAGGTGCAATCCACTCGGAACTACTTTAGTTAAGTGCAGCCGTTGCATACTCTACTCAATACGGCATGCGTTAAGCAATCCTCTTGCTAGGGTCTGACCTTGAGACTTATTTATTGTTATTGCGAACGCTTCAATAATTTTGAATTGGCGACGTTTAAATACAAAAGCACCTCAAAAGCATACCTCACTGACCTCATCCAGACTGTTTTTCGTCAACGCTGTGCGACTTTGGAACGAACTACCTTAGTCGTTGAAAGTGCAACTAAACAGAGGCAGGTACAAATCAGTAATTCTCCGTTATTTCCGTGAGTTATATCAGGACATTGAATTAAGGTGACATGTCTTCTTTTTCCCTCTATGCCTCTATTCTACTCGTTTCTTATCCTTACTATCTTCTCATATTGTAAATATATGTGCCTTCAGCCTTTATTAATTAATAATGGTAATAGATACTAAAAAACTTAGGCTTAGCTATAGTATTAAATTTACAAACCTACTATTAACTAACCCTTCATATGTACATATTTAGGTTGTGGATTAGCATCACAGCTGCTCTAACTTTTAGTATCAAGTCATGAGGTGCTTACTTCTACTTGCTCCTGTGGATATTCAGAAACGACAGTAGATATCGACGCCATTTCTACTCCGGACAACATATTAACCATTTCTATATTAACTATCGTACAGTGCTTATCTTTTGGACGCGAAATTGATCGATCCTTCAAGTGGTTTTGATTAATCACATCAGGCTGAGGTTCAAATACCCAATCGGCTAAATCTCGCAAAATAATCTCTTGTGGCACCAATCTTAATTTATGAATCTGAGGAGAGTTTTCGCCCTTCTGTTACCCGCCAGAGAAAACTGAAATAACCAGATTCTCTGAAACGCATATTTATCGAGAGTTTAAAATACTTTACCGTTCCCTCAGTTCGCCCGCCAGGATTTTTTTATGTTTTACAGCATTTTAAAACCATACAAATTTGAAAAAAAAAAAATTAAATTGTTCAAAATTGGTGATGCTATTTGCACCTGGATGATGCTATTCGCACCTGGAACTCGATTCCATCTCATATTCGTAATAGTGTGAACACAAGCAATTTTAAGAGTGTTTTGTATTCTTATTTTCGTTAAAATGCTATTTCATATCCAAAGTTATACCCTTTCCTCTGAGGCTCGCTATCTAGTTAGGTATAGGGTAATGAATACATTATTCTTATGTTTTTCCTTATGCTCCACTTGCGATACTCTATAGAGTTTTGTAAGTTTTTGTTGCCCTGTTTTTGTCTTATATATTACTTAATGTTAAACATTAACATATTTTAATTCTTAATTATAAGTTACAGTTGTACTATAAAAGATCATTTTGATCTTATTGTGCTGATGTTATATTTTATAATAAATGAAATGAAATGAGAATGCGTGTGTGAGATTAAAATTTACATTTTAAAATTGCTAAATATAAAATTTTAAAAATCTTTCCGGGCAAAGATGGGCATCGAATGATTCTTAAATTTGAAATGTTTATGCAAAGTTTCAGATCCAGAACCTTAATTTGAAAGTAAATTGTCTCTGTACGATTATATATAGATACATATATAGGTTTATAATACAAATAGAACCATATTTGCCATGACGATTTGACGAAAAAGAATAAATGGAACATAACAATGCTCGAATCAAAATAAAGCGCACAGCGCAGCAGCGATGTTGTTGTTGATACTGTGTATGAATGCATGGATATGCAACAACGTTGTGTATTTACATATATACAGAACCAAAAGGGAACATTTTCTTTGCAGATCTTCCGCTCTATCGCTGCCTGCATGCACACGACGAACGTAGCAATGATTTGAACGATATTAAATAAAAACAGAAACAAAAGCGAATAAATGGAAAAGATTTTCATTCTCTTATGTCAAGCTGAGACGCTGCCTATCCAAATTAACGTAGCAATGCTTTGCTCAATGTAAAAATTTTAAAATCTTTCGACGCAAATATTTAAAAAAATGGTTTAATGAAACTTAAAT